ACGCCGACGCCGCTCAAGCCGGGAACGGGCCTCTAAGAGCTGCGCTCTAAAACAGAAGCATATACAGCCATGAAGAAACGGAAAGTTATTGCGCATTGCGGCGAAACGCGCATATCAGAAATTCGTTTTAATTTGTAAATTAGGCTAAAAACATGCCACTTATGCATGTTGTAGAGCGCAGCTCTTAGGGGCCCGTTTCCGGCTTGAGCGGCGTCGGCGTCGACGTAACCGCGCGGTGCATTATGGGTAAATTGCCCCGCTAAATCTAGCGGAAAAATTTTTTCCGCTAAATCTAGTGTAAACATTTTCCCCGCTAGATTTAGCGGAAAAAATTCCCCGCTAAATCTAGTGAAAAAATTTCCCCGCTAAATCTAGCGGAAAATTTTCTCCGCTAAATCTAGCGGAAAAATCTAGCGGGAAAAATTCCCCGCGAAATCTAGCGGAAAATATTCCCCGCTAAATCTAGCGAAAAAATTTCCCCGCTAAATCTAGCGGAAAAATTTCTCCGCTAGATTTAGCGGAAAAATTTCCCCGCTAGATCTAGCGGAAAAATTTTCCCCGCTAGATTTAGCGGAAAAAATTCCCCACTAAATCTAGCGGGAAAATTTTCCCGCTGAATCTAGCGGGAAAAATTCCCCGCTAAATTTAGCGGAAAAATTTACCCGCTAAATCTAGCGGAAAATTTCTCCGCTAAATCTGGCGGAAAAATCTACCGGTAAAAATTCCCCGCTAAATCTAGCGGAAAATATTCCCCGCTAAATTTAGCGAAAAAATTTCTCGCTAAATCTAGCGGAAAAATTTCCCCGCTAAATCTAGCGGAAAAATTTCCCCGCTAAATCTAGCAGAAAAATTTCTAATGCCCCGCTAAATCTAGCGGAAAAATTAACCCTCTAAATCTAGCGGAAACTAGCGGGAAAAATTCCCCGCTAAATATAGCGGAAAAATTTCCCCACTACCGGAAAATATTCCCCGCTAAATAGCGGAGAAATTTCCCCGCTAAATCTAGTGGAAAAATTTCCCCGCTAAATCTAGCGGAAAAATTTTCCTGTTAGATTTAGCAGAAAAAATTTCCCGCTAAATCTAGCGGAAAAATTTTCCTGCTAAATCTAGCGGAAAAATTTCTCCGCTAAATCTAGCGGAAAAAAATTCTCTGCTAAATTTAGCAGAAATATTTCTCCGTTAAATCTAGCGGGAAAAATGCCCCGCTAAATCTAGCGGAAAAATTAACCCGCTACATCTAGCCAAAAAAATTCCGCGCTAAATCTAGCGGAAAAGTTTCCCCGCTAGATTTAGCGGAAACAATTCCCCGCTAAGTTTAGCGGAAACATTTCCCCGCTAAATCTAGCGGAAAAAATCCCCCACTAAATGTAGCAGAAAAATTTTTCTGGGGGGTCACGTGACCCCCCAAGGTCCCATGACCCCCCCCCCCCCCTTCCCCCCGCCCCGAGAACAGGTAACTCTCAGTACCCTTCCCTCCTCCTCCTCAAGAGCTGCGCTCCAATTCGGTGTTACAGGGAGTTGTAAACGGCTGTCATTTTTTATTTAGTCCTAATCTCAAACGGCTCAGGAATTTCGTTTCACACTTTATAACGTGCTAACATTTTGGTGTCACTGAAGTCAAAGGTGCATAAGCAGCTGCTACAATGAACACCTAGATGTCATGAAGGAGTTCATCTTGTGGGAGCTTCATGCATGCTCACGAACAGGTTCGTTCACAACACACCTACCCGTCGGACCTACATACGACAGCCTACACAACACAGGAATTTGATTATCGACCTCTGTGCCGCAATCAGTAAACTTACTTCGGTGTTGAATTTAGTGCTACATGGGTCTGTTTTCGGCTCTGGGTTATTGATTTCGCGGCACAATCTTACCATCGTGATAGGTGATGAAGAAACAACGGGTACAATGTAGCATTGACCTACTTTCTTTATATTGTGTGTGAATGTGTGCATGTACGCGATGACTAACGGCCCCAAAGATGTGTAATCGCAGCTAGTTTTTTTTGTTTTTTTTTTCCCGACCTTCGCTATTTTTGTGTGCTTTCCGCCCCCCCCCCCCCCCCCCCCACCTCAAGCAATTCGCTCTGTAAAAAGCCCAATCTCAGCAGGCACTCAATTTGTTTCGCAAAGCTCTCTTGTGTGCTGTGTCAACGGAACGAACACTTTCGATATATATATATATATTTGACATCTTGGGGCTAAGTAGGCTGTAGGCGTATTTTTAAAAAAGTAGAAGCCACCGAGGGTCAAACAAACTTGGAAGGTTTAATTCAACATGTATAAGTTATACAGAAACCGCGACGTTTCCAAGGGGGACCCTTCTTCCTCAAGCGGGACTTGAAAAGTGAGACCTCAAATGTCGAGCGAAATACCGCAGAAGCAAGAAAAACAAAAAAAGGCAAAAAATACGTAGAATACGAAGATAAAAACATAAAAATAAAAATTCAAACAGCAAACGCAAAACATGGACGAGGCCAGTGGCGGCCTCATCTCAGATGAGGCCGCGGTGGGCTGTATATACACACGGTAAACAACGAGAGCGTGTGAATTATGGTCACTTGCACAAGGCAAGTGTAAAAATGTAAGCAAGCATGGTGTACGATATATATATTTAACTTGAAACTAGGTAAACAAACAACATGCACCTGATAGCTAATAGGCCAGATAGGTTTCCAGTTTTGCAAAATGGGATATTCAAGAATAAAACAAATCAATGCTGCAAGATCTGCAAAGGATTGTTCACACATTCAGTACAGCGCTGAGTTACTGCTAAGTCAGCGTAGCACCAGCGCTATAGTCACTGCCGTCTAAGGGTTGCACTCTGAATATAAACAAGAAAAGACAGCGTATCATAGACTGGAGCGCTGATGCAGCTCTGATATAGCGCAGAGTCAGCGCTGTGTCAATACAGCTGCGTCTGTGCTGTACCGTGCGTTTGAGCAGGTCGTAAGCGGATACTTCAACGAAATTTGGAATATACCAGTCGTTTTCAGAAATAGGCTGAATATAATCAACAATATCCGTAGATGACAATCGCACGTTTGCATTTTGAGGCTGAAGGTTGTATTTTTAGTTATAAATGGCCCACTCTAGCAAGCGCTCAGAGAGCAGCCAGCAGAGAGCACGTGACGTGCGGCGCAATCGTGACGCAGCCTGTCTTGAGATGGGACGAGCAAAGCTACGGCGAGGCTGACGCGGTTATGAGTTTTGTCACATGGTGGCGTGGACGTGTTGTTACAACGTTCGATATGCCCGTGGAGAACGTCCTCACCACCAGGCCCACCCCGTGACTCCAGTGTCCGTGACCCCAATGATCCCACGCCGCGCTGAGTAACCGGGTTTGCGTGCTTTTTTTGTGTCGCAATGTCGTATCAGCGAGGGAGAAGAAAAGTTTGCAGCGACATTAGCGAGAACGAGGACATCGCTTGTTCTGCGATGGTAACCGACCGGCGACCTACAGTCTTATGTCTACGACCTCTCCGCGTCCTGTTCGTATGAAGGAGACGGGCCGACACGACACCACCAGCCCGGGCTGAGGGCACCGCGAATTGGTAAGTTTCCTATTTAGTTCGCGATCAAGAAAAATTTTATTTTTATTTCGCACGTATTTTCACGATCGGCAAGTGCGATGTATTGAAACGGCGGGAGGCGTTGTACTAGAGGCGTTGTCAGTACGAGAGTAAAGGCATAGTGAGCCGTACTTCCGCAGGGCGGCGCTGCTCCACTGTTAGCTTGTAGTTCTAGGCAAGACAGGCATGGTCACTTTCTGTCAATGTTCCTAGATGAATATTACAAACGAGGTTCTAGCGACATTCACCAGGTGCAATTTGGTAATCGTTCAATTTGTTTTGAAATTCGTTTGCGTGTTTTTTTTTAAGAGATCGGCGTGGTCAGATGTGATGCTGCTCACTGAAAAAAATATAGACTAAGAAATAGACGCTGAAATTTCGTTGTAGAATCCATTTAATGGTACTTATGATTTAAGTGACTTATTCCATTCGAAATCAGTATGTTTGGCGTTGTGCGCCATCGACGAAGTCGATAGAGCGAGCAAGCCCTAATACCGTAAACCTTGCCTTTCTCAAAATAAAACTAGACCCGGCTTCAAAGCGCCTCTGTCGCAAGAACGGAATCTCCTGGAACTTATCTCACTGTGGCGAAATACCTCGTGACATTGCATGGTGTGAGGATTAAAGCTCCACCTGAAAAAGGTAACGAACTGGTAGTGCCAGAAAAACAGAAACAAATAACTTAATCGAATTTCAGTGATGGGTTGTTGCAGAGAAACCAATGACTATTTATGAACCCTATTAAAAACAACCGTTGTCAAGTACAAATGAAATCAGGTCATTCATATTGAAGGAGTTGGTGTTTTGAGAGGACAGCACCAATCATGATAAATATTTATTTAAACAATTTTTTATACGTCATTTGTAAGTATTACTACCCCCCCTCCCAAATGAAAATATGATTGATGAGGTAAACATTGTAGTAAATAAAAAATAATTGTCTAGGTGTACGTGAATTACCTTGTAATGTTTTAGACGGAAAAACGTTCATTGAGGTGAAAAAGCAGTGTGTACTATAAAAGTTCCCAATATTGGCATGGATGAGGAGATACCACTGCTTCATCAACTCAGTCGCAGAGATGTTTAGTCTCAATGGACTGCACTAGCTGCAATACAAGCTACGAAAGTTTGACGCTTTCTGACCAAAACCAGCAAGGGGAATGGTTGAATTTGGGACCACTGCATGGGCTCTTCAACACAGAATTCATCTCCAAGGGCTTGGAATTCCGGCGTGCTAACTACCGTTAACTCAGTGAAATATACCGAAGGAAACAGTCCAGTTGGATCAAAATTTATTACACAGGGGACACAATTGACGTGTGGCATTGCCTTCTTAGAACTTGAATAACCCTCCACCGAGAACTAACATCAATCGGAGTATAGAATAACCATAAAATATGCCTTGCAAGTATCACGGCTGGCACCTTGCAGATACTTCAGTTTGCACAGCTCTCGTCATATAGGTAGTACTTTGGCGTTGTCCCGCAGAGAAGAATCGAAGATGAAATCGCAGCAGGTGTGCTTTTCCAGTGCGCTCTCAGGAACAAGGAGAGTGCACGCGTCCGTCTGCGCCATTGAAGAACAAATCACTTCCATTTTTGTTTTCGGTAAACCAGATAAAAACATAGTTTATTTTATATTACACTTGAGTGTACTGTACCAATGGAAGGCGTTGCCGCCGCACACGAGTTGGCATAGGCCTAAACACTTGGATAATATCGTAGATTTGATTTCATTTCTAAAAATAGTTTAGCTTTCAAATCTGTATGTTTTTTTAATTATTTCTGAGAGTGTTGTGCACCAATTAATTTTAACCAGACTCTTTTGTTTATTCGAATATTTAATGACTTGTCATTGATCTTATTTCAAGGCAAACTTGTTTATAGTCATTGATTTGACTCAAAATTGGTTAAACAAATTGATAGGCTCATTTGAACAGTAACCTAAATTACATATTGCAAGAATGTTCTTTTTTTCGCTAGGTTATTTAGATTTCAAATATGGCCTGAGA